ATGGACGCGCACTTTGCAGAAGCAGCCTTCGAGAACAGCACCCTGCAGGCGCAGCTGCTGCAGAAGACCGCCACCAGCAGCAGGATCGTCACCCTAAACCCTAAACCCTAAACCCTAAACCCCAAACCCCAAACCCCAAACCCTAAACCCTAAACCCTAAATCCTAAACCCCGAGGATCGTCCACAAGGTGATTCGCAAAGCGGGGCTCCTGAGCCTCAAGGAGCTTCTCTACAAGTCCGATGCCAAAACCCGTGCCCGGGTGGTGCGACGCCACATTGAAGCTTGCCGTGCTTCCGCCTGCTGGGACCAGGTCTTCCTGCTGCAAAGCTTCTTCGCAGCTGAATTAGTACACTTTACACTTTTTGGGGTACTATATTACCCACCCCCTATAGAACTGAAAGTGTACACTTGTTGGGGGCCTGTGAACTCAGCAACTAAGGTTTCTTCCTCAAGCTCGGAATCAACAAGTATGGCGCGTGCTTCCAGTCAGGTGCGAGGGTAAACTTGACGGATGGAAGCATGACGAGCGTGGGATCTCTGTCGGCGAACAAAATGGTATGGGGACGTGGAAGGGTCCAGAAGTTCAAGTTGAAGGAAAGGCCGATCAAGTTCGACACATCAGACTCCTATGAAGGCTTCTTAGTAGTAGAGTGGGTAACCCTTATAACCTTTTGGGGTTCTTATGTATTCCCTTTAGAGGCTTTAGTTCCCCAGGACACTGGACAACTAAGGTTTCTTCTGCAACAAGGCGACCGGCTTTAAGAAGCTGACTCTAAGCGGAGGTCGGCCTCTTAGTAGCTGAAGGAGTATACTTTATACACTTTTGGGGGATAAGATAATCTCCTAGAGAACTGAAAGTGTACACTTTTGGAGGTTTAGGGTTTAGGGTTTGGGGTTTGGGGTTTAGGGTTTAGGGTTTAGGGTTTAGGGTTTAGGGTTTAGGGTTTAGGGTTTAGGGCTAGAGCAACTAAGGCCCCCATTCTATCTGGGCAGGAACGCCGAGGTCTGGGTCCTTAAAAACAAGGATCCCGAGGCTGCCGATGCGCTGATCAAGAGCGATGACCCCAAGGTGGGCGATGTTAGGGTTTAGGGTTTAGGGTTTAGGGTTCAGGGTTTAGGGTTTAGGGTTTAGGGTTTAGGGTTTAGGGTTTAGGTTTAGGGTTTAGGATTTAGGGTTTAGGGTTTAGGGTTTAGGGTTTGGGTTTCAGGGTTTAGGGCTTATTTAGGGTTTAGGGTGTATTTAGGGTTTAGGGTTTAGGGTTTAGGGTTTAGGGTTTAAAGTTAGGGTTTAGGGCAAGCAAAGGAGGGCGATGAACTCATCACCTTCGGCGAGGCCGGCAAAGCCACGGGGGGAGTCTTCGTGTCGAAAGTGGAGGAGCCCATTGCCGAGATGGAGCCTTGGGTGGCGAAGTACCCCGTTCTCTCTCTTGCCGTTGCTGCTGTTACATCTTCTCTTCTGAGTTGTGCTGAGAGCCCTGAACCCTGAACTTAACCCTAAGCTTTCTTGGATTTTCTTGGGGTTCCTGGCAGTCATCATTCGGGCAAGAGCCCGAAACCCGAAACCCGAAACCCTAAACCCTAAACCCTCTTTTACTATGTATATTTAAACCCTAATGACCTTCGTGACCATGTGGTTTTTTTCTGGGCCCTAAACCCTGACCCCCTTCGTGGGCAAATGGTTTTTTCCTGGGCCGTGCCTCCAAAAACACCCCAAATGAGGGGGACCCCAGGATCGGTCCGGGTCCCAGTTCAAAATGCGATTTTTTAGTACTGAAATCGACGCTTCTGGGTGGGCTGTCGTTTTCTGGATTTTTGATCAGAACCGAGCCTTTGGGCCCTAAACCCTGACCCCCTTCGTGGCCAAATAGTTTTTTTCCACCCGGGGGGGGCCTAAACCCTGACCCCCTTCGTGACCAAATGGTTTTTTTCCACCCCGGGGGGGCCCTAAACCCTGACCCCCTTCGTGACCAAATGGTTTTTTTCCACCCCGGGGGGCCCTAAACCCTGACCCCCTTCGTGACCAAATGGTTTTTTTCCACCCGGGGGGGGCCTAAACCCTGACCCCCTTCGTGACCAAATGTTTTTTTTCCACCCGGGGGGGCCCTAAACCCTGACCCCCTTCGTGACCAAATGGTTTTTTTCCACCCGGGGGGGCCTAAACCCTGACCCCCTTCGTGGGCAAATGGTTTTTTTCCACCCGGGGGGGCCCTAAACCCTGACCCCCTTCGTGGGCAAATGGTTTTTTTCCACCCGGGGGGCCCTGGATTTTTGACCAAAACCGAGCTTCACCGGCTTCAGGATGTCACGTTCTGTAAGAGGGAAAGTTTGCTTCCAAAAAGTTAGATTTTAGGTTTTGGGCGGACTCTTGAGCTATAAGCCTACTGAAAATGTATTGATTGAACTTTGTATTTTCTCAATGTTATGGGTTTCTTGGGTGGGTGGGGTTTTTTTCCAACGCTTGACAAGCTGCTTGACTAGTGAAGGCTTGGACATGAGATGCTGAACCCTAAACCCTAAACCCTAAACCCTAAACCCTAAACCCTAAACCCTAAACCCTAAACCCTAAACCCTAAACCCTAACCCCTAACCCCCCCCCCCCCCCCCCCTCTGAGCCCAGGAGATGTGCGGGCCCGAGGTCCAGGCGCCGGACTTCTTCGTGGAAGGGATCTCCGTGACACTTGGTGGCCCAGTGGTACCCCTTTTAGGGTTTAGGGTTTAGGGTTTAGGGTTTAGGGTTTAGGGTTTAGGGTTTAGGGTTTAGGGTTTAGGGCTAGGGTTTGGGGTTTAGGGCTAGGGTTTGGGGTTTTAGGCTTTGAGGGTGTGACGCTTGGTAGCCCAGCGGTACCCCTTCTTGCACTTTTTAAGGGTTTTAGGGTTTTTAGGGTTTTGGGGTTTTGGGGTTTTAGGGTTGTAGGGTTGTAGGGTTTTAGGGCTTTAAGGTTGAGGCTTCAAGGTTTCCCTTGTAAAGTCGGCAACCCCCCCCCCCCCCCCCAAGAAAAAAAAAAAAAAAGCACCCTTGTGATAAGGTGGCTCCTGGGCTACCATTAAGGGGTCTAAGGAGGGACCCCTAGAATGGAGTATTCTTATTCTCCTGTATATCCCCTACACATACCTTATACTTATTCCCCCTTGGGAATTATTTTTTATTTTTGTTTATATAAAACCCAAGAGGATATTAAACATATTATTTTTATTAAGGTTCTAAGGGGAGTACATTATATAGTCCTTACCTACCTAAGTAGCCCCAAACATAGCCCTTGATACCAAGGTCATGCGACCCTGGAAATGGACAGGGCTGGCAGCTCCCAGCGCGTCTCCTTGCGGTCATCGCACTCCTGGTCCTTTGCTAGGAGGCGTGGGGTGAAGGGCATTTGAGAAACCTAGCAGCTGAATGAGTACATTTTGCACAACTTGGGATACGATCTACTATACTCCCCTACAGAGCTGGAAGTGTACACTTTTTTTTTGGTGGGGCTTGTGAACTCAGCTACTAAGGAGCCTCCAAGGAGCTTAACCCCCCCCAGATGTTTTCAGAGTTCATTAGCACAAAGGATTCGAAGTTCTGCAAAACACCCTGCCATCGGATGGTGGTCTAACTCCTTGCCACTGATGTCGGGAACCTCCACCAAATAGTTTGCCATCAGCAAGCCTGCGGGGGCGAACTCTCCGGTCGACTTAATAGTCGCAATCTACAACGGTCTATAAACCATGCCATCCTCGAAAAGCGGCGTGAAAACAGGGTCTCGGGTTTAGGGTTTAGGGTTTAGGGTTTAGGGTTTAGGGTTTAGGGTTTAGGGTTGCTTAGGGCTCAGGGCTCAGGGCTTAGGGTGTACCAGCGAGGGTGGCATGCAGGAACAGTACCGCTGCCAGACTCGCGTGGATCTACATGAATGGAGATGGGAAATCCTTTGGTGTTCAGACCAAAGTTGGCCTCACCACTCGAAGGCTTCTTAATGCCTAAATCATGAACACTAAACCCTCAAACCCTCAGCCCTAAACCCTCAACCCTCAACCCGAAACCCTAAACCCTGGTTTGTTTGGTATGTAGCCAGAAACCCTCAACGTTCGGGGGGGCTTCTGAAGTATTCGGGAGCTTTCTCAGCCCCTAGTCGTGAGATTTAAGAGGAGCACGATTGCTCTTAGGGTTTAGGGTTTAGGGTTTAGGGTTTAGGAGCTCCTTTTTGGGGTTGCCTATGCGGGGTTACCCTAGACCCCACACGCTAAATCCTAGACCCTAGACCCCAAACCCTGAACCCGAACCCCTTTGTCAGGGTCCGCCAAGCCCGATCCCGCACCCTCACAAAAATGCATACGGGTACCCCATTTGTTCATCACAGTTTCACTTGGTCCTATAGTAGTAGAGTAGGTAATATAATCCCCTTATAATCCAAATGGTTAACCTTCAATTCCCCCAGGTTACGTGGTTTAGAGAGGAGTTTTTTATCCCACAGGGAAAGGGTTTAGGGGTATGCACTGTCTTCACGAGAGCTTGGGGCTTATTTCCCAAGTTTTGTGGGGCACAGCTGAACCAACCCTAAATACCCTTAACCCTCAAACCGTAACCCTTAAACCCTAAACCCTAAACCCTAACGCTAAACCCTAAACCCTAAACCAGGCAGGTGCTGCACAGTCGAAGCTCAAGTGGACGTTATAGGACAGCTGCGCCCTGAGCCCTCAGTCAGCTAACTTATCCGACGACTTGGTAGCCCAGATGGTGCCCTTCAGCCCCTTTGTCGTTCTAGGTTCCCTTACACAGTCACAGGGTTTAGGGTTTAGGGTTTAGGGTTCAGGGTTTCAACTCCAAAAGGGTACAGGTATTGTAGACGGTTACTGCACTGTTAAGGGGAGCCCGAAACAGAAGCCTACCAGGAAGCCAAGCCATGGCTGCCCCGGCTGATGCACGTGCCGATGCACGCGCGGTTGCACCTGCAGGCGTGTTGGAGTGAGGAGGTTGGGGGTTTAGGGTTTAGGGTTTAGGGTCTAGGGTTTTACAAGACCCTAAAGTTGCAATGGATCGCAGCCTTGTTCGCTGTACTTTGAGAACACCAGTTAGCATTGGCCGTAAACTTACTGGCTCGTAGTAGGGAATGACGGAAGTAAGGATGCACCCTATAAAATCCCTTAGTGGGTACCCTGAACCCTAAAGCCTAAACCTTAAACCAGAAGGTAGCTCATTCCCCCATGCCCTACGTACTAAGAACCGAAGCCCTGAACCCGAAGTAGCTTTCGGGGTCTTCTGGCGAGCCCCAACCCTAAACCCTAAACCCTAAACCCTAAACCCTAAACCCTAAACCCTAAACCCTGTGGACCCCCAAGGGCGCAAAAAAGCCCAAAGCCCAGAAGCCTACTAAACCAATGCATGTCCCCAAACCCCAAACCCCAAACCCTAAACCCCAAACCCTAAACCCTAAAACTATAGGTCCTTCAAAGGGCTGAACCGCATGGGACAAGGTCCCTTACACAGGTTTAGGATTCGCTCTGCCGGGCCCGCCGGTATAGGATTCGCTCTGCCGGGCTCGCCGGTAAAGGGTGGATCCTGCACTTTGCAATCCTGCTTTGGGAAGACAACGACCGCACAAAGCCGGAAGTCGTCCACGGCATCGCAGACCTATTCTGCTTATTATACGAAGCTCCGAGCTCGTTTTCCCGACCGCCTGGAGCTTCCAAGCGCCCACCAAGACTGTCTGGTCCGGGATCGTGCTTAGGCAACTCTGCACGGCTCTTCTACAAGGCGATGCAGGTGCCCAGCGGGATTCATCCAGCTCTTATCGGAGTCATCACAGCCAGATGTCCAAACCTGGATTGCCGGCCCGGGAGTCAGTATAGGAGCCTCCGAGTAAACCCTTACAGTCTAGGGTTTAGGGTTTAGGGACGCCCCCTAAACCCCAAACCCTCAACTTCACAACCCAAAACCCGGAACCCTCGGCCCCTGCATCCAGCGCCTGACAGGCTCCTCCGCAGAGAGAGCTTTCACCGAACTCCTGGCGCCTTTAGGCTGTTTCGGAGGGTTTAGGGTGTAGGGTTTAGGCTGTTTCGGAGGGTTTAGGGTGTAGGGTTTAGGGTATAGGGTGTATGGTTTGGGGTATAGGGTCTATGGTTTAGGGTTTAGGGTGTAGGGTTTAGGGTATAGGGTCTATGGTTTAGGGTTTGGGGTTTAGGGGAGATTCTGTTGAAAGCGTTGCCTGCCAGGCGACCCGAATGTAGAACAATCGTCCCAAATTGAGCGCATGAGGCGATTGAGGTCAGGCCCTAAAACCCTAAAGTCCCTAAAGCCTTCAAAAAATCCTGAAACCCAAACCCTAAATCCCTAAACTTTTCCACTAGTGGGTGGAAGCAACTTGCACTTTAAGGGTACTTAAACTCAATAAGGACTAGACATTCAATTGTGTTTAAGACTATCCCAACCATGCACTAGTAAACCACTAAACGCTAAACCCTCAAACCCTCAACCCTTGGCTTGAGGTTTAGGGTTTAGGGTTTAGGGTTTAGGGTTTAGGGTTTAGGGTTTAGGGTTTAGGGTTTAGGGTTTAGGGTTTAGGGTTTAGGGTTTAGGGTTTAGGGTTTAGGGTACAAGCACTCCAGAGGTTTGAGGTTAGAGGTGCGGGTTTGAGGGTCATCGTTGCATAAGGTCATCCATTGTTGCACCCCTAACCCCAAACCCCAAACCCTAATTCCTAAACCCTAAACCCTAATTAACCCCTAAACCCTAAACCCTAAACCCTAAACCCACCAACCTGTGTACGGGCGCCATCTCCGGAATCCCTTGACGCTTCGGCATCCCAGGGCCCCAAACCCTGCTTCGAATCTAAGGGTTTAGGGTTTAGAGTTTCGGGCTTAGGGTTGAGAGTTTAGGGTTGTTTAGGGTTTAGGGCTTAGGGTTTAGGGTTTAGGGTTAAGGGTTAGGAGTTCTGGTTTAGGGTTTATCTAAGGGTAGTTACACGGGCCGTTAATATGGCCACCAACCTCCTTGAAAGGGTTCTGCTGTGTGGGCCCTCATTTTGTCTAAGGTATATAAGGGGTACCTTTTTAAAGGCCCATACTTGGAGGTTCATGGCACCTAGTAGCCCAACTAGAACGGCACATTATAACCCAGCTAGAACCTCATCAGGGTACTGAAGGGGCTCATTTATGTGGGTTATACCTACACTTTTCATGGGGTACTAAGTACCCTGAACCTCCAAGTACTAAGGGACCGTGTAACTGCCCTTCGATTCGAAAGGCTCGCCCTGCTAAAGAGAAGCCGGGCTTCGGCTCGATACCCTAAACCCTAAACCCTAAACCCTAAACCCTAAACCCTAAACCCTAAACCCTAAACCCTAAACCCTAAACCCTAAACCCTAAACCTTATCCCCCGGCCTTAGGGTTTCGGGTTTCCAAGGGTTTTAGGGTTTAGGGTTTAGGGTTTCGGGCCGCTAGACAACTGTCCCGTTTTCAGGCTGCGGCCACAAGCCCGCAAACAGAACTGGTGCAGCGTTTGCAAGAGTGACACCCCGGGAAGCTGAGCAGAGGTCAGAGTTGGAATAGGGTAAGTAGCTGAAGGGGGCCGCAGAGACCGCCTTTTAAAACAGTTGGGGACGTGCTCGAGGTTCCCCTGCAGAGAGTGAACCGCGAGGACTTCGTTTTTCCGAACTCCTCAACAGGTGAGGGGAGCCATTCGAAGACTTCATGCGCGAGCTTGTGAAAGTGAATGGAGACAACAGAAGGAAGTTTGCGCAGCGGGCCAAATTCGATTTTGCCCGTTACAAAGAAGTTCTTGGGGAATCCAAACCTCCATGAGGTTGGGCTTCAAGGCCGAGGATGGGATGTAGGTTTACGGTTTAGGGTTTAGGGTTTACGGTTTAGGGTTTATGTATCCCGTACCTGCAAATCACAATGAACCCTGAATCCCTGAAACCCTGAGGCCCTGAAGCCCTCTAGACCCTGAAGTGCTGCCCCCACTAAACCCTAAACCCTAAACCCTAAACCCCAAACCCTAAGCCTCTGAAGGGTTGTGTCGCACATTGCATCGGAACTCCGGTACATGACCCCTTCGACAGAAGGCCCTTCCGCAGTCTATTGGGTGTTCGACTTTAGGGTTTAGGGTTTAATGCTTCCCTAATTCCTACACCCTAATTCCTACACCCTGAACCCTAAACCCTAAACCCTAAACCCTAAACCCTAAACCCTAAACCCAGCAAGAACCGAAAAGTGCAGGTGGACAGCTGACGCTGGGCAGCACGCTTGGCTTCGCCTCGGGCGTCGCATTGCGGGCAGCCGGGCGCAAGACCACCGGAGTTACAGGTCTTAGGGTGTAGGGTTTAGGGTTTAGGTTGTAGGGTTTGGGGGGTTAAATGGGGCTTAAGCTAGAGTT